AGAGAATCTCGCATCATTCTCTGATGCTTGAAAAAGGAAGAGTGTAATTTTATTCTAGCAACTGCCTTCACAACCTCTTCTAATTTTATCAACAGCTATGAGATGAAATTTTAATGTGTAAGGTTGCACCATGATCAAAAGTGGTGCATCCCTTCTGTCTTGCCTGCCCGGACTTGCTTGGCCCTTGCAGGAAGCCTGCAGAAGCATTGCTGCTCCCCTGTCGGTCCTTGGAAGGGGGCTGAATGAGCACTGCATGGCACATTACTGCTGATTTTAAGCCCCTGCTGTTGGATTCACCGATGTGTGCAGGACTCTTTCAGTATCTGTGGCCAGAAGAAGACCCTTTTGTTCATGTGTTTGTAAGCTAAGACTATCTGGAGGGCTGAATCACCGCCCTTCATCAAGCAACGCCTTTGATCCCTCCTTCCTGCTGTGCCTTCTCAAATAAGCCCTTGAGAAGGGCAAGAGCTGTTTCCCGTCTCCATAGCCACGTCCAGGCTGTCGGGCATCTGACACAGCTTCTCTGCACTCTTAGATGGGGGCACCAGTGGTCAGAGGGTGGGGCGACAACCCAACCCATGGCGTTTGAATCGGGAAGATCAGCATGATCACCAGTCACGTAGGAGCAACACTCACTCTTAGTCCAGAAATAGACTGCTGTCTTCCGTCTGATAAAGATAATTAGTTGGCCAATTAGGTGAGCATGGATGGCATGGCCAGTACTCAGTCCTCCCACTCTCTTCTCCTGCCATCATGTGTCAAAGGAAGAGGGATGAATTCGTAATAAAAAGGGAGTTAACCCTGCAGGCAGCCATTTTAATCTTGATGATAGAGTTGCACCCCTTCATACAACCTTTTAGACAGACGTGTTCAGTATAGGTTTCCAAGTAAGCTGCTGACTCTTAAAAGGCAAGGTCTTTTACCTTATACAAAATTAAAGAGCTTTTAGGTTTTAAATATGTAGTGTCAGAAAAAAGTCACATCACTTGACAGAACATTGCAGACATAGCACTTAATCCTGCTCCATTTAATTCTTAATATACTGAAGCTAATCTGAGTTTAACAAAATCCAGTGTTAAACGTTCTAGATGCCATTCTGTTCACACTCAGAATAAATGCATCTTGCTGTGGCCACTTAGAGGGGCTAAAGCATGATATGTCAACTGTTGTATGTACCTTGTCTCTTCTGGTATCTCTTGCCTTTAGTAAATTCAAGACTGGTAGTTTGGCAAGCCGGAGCACATTTTACCTGAAGTGAAGAGGTACATACACGTAGTAGGTTTGTTTTATCATTTTTAACATAAATAAGAAAAGTTTTAAAGTGAAACTTAAATAGTAATCTGCAGAACCTTAGATTGTCTGACGTCAACTGAGATAATATGGTTAGGAGGAAAACACAGAAAAGGAACTATATTGATGAACTGCTTGGTTCTGATTATTGATTTATTTATTTTTTTAAATTACCAGAAAGTCACGTACTAGAAAAGAATGACTTGTTGAATTCCTACACTTCATCACCACAAAGAAAGGATTGCCATAGCAACTGGAAAAGACTATGCATTGTAAGAATACTCAGAAGCTGAACAGATAATGGTTTAAGATAAATGCCAGCCAGGGGTCAGAAAGAAGGGAGGTGGCATTTTTACAATGACAAAGAAATTTAAAAGGAACTAATATCGCAAATGAGAAATACATGTGAATACAAAGGTAACAAAAAGTGCAGGACAATGAATCAAAAAGCTGTATGGCTCATTTTTCTGGGAAGCAAATCAACAAGGTTTCTTAGTGATAAATCCCTGAACTTGTCTCTAAGGTGACTGACATGCATCTTTATGATTTTCTCTCTAGTCTCTCTGTCATGGCATTCGAAATGGTTTGCAGCTAGCAGGAGGTGTCCATGCAGGATCCACATAGAAGAGTCTAAGGCAAACATTTCATGTAGGTCGCTTGTCAGGCAGAACCTGCTTAACGTCTAGTAATTACCTGTAAAGTCTGATCCAACACTGTAGTTTAGAGGTGAAAGGATCATTACATTTGCCTTCCAGCATATCTGCCCCATTTAGACACTTATCTTTGATTCCCTCCTACAACATTTTTCAGTCCTCAAAATTCAATTCCACTGTATTCGAGAAGCAAAGACAAAAATCTACTTAAATATGAATCAGGATGAGTGCAGAGTATGTCACTAAATGAGACTTAAACCATATGACACTTGACATCATTTTTTTCCTGATTTTCTGTTTTCACTACAAACCATGCATCCTCAATTCTCATATTTATTTAAGATCTATTTAAAATTAAGTAAGTGACACAATAATAAAAAATGACAGATAAAAGTGTGGATGAAATGAGAAACCCTGTACTTCTCAACTACTGTTTTCAAAGCCACGTCCTTTCCAACCCTTTCTTTGTGGCAGAGTGTGTGTGGCTTTTGCTTTAGCACCACTACAAGTGTTCCTGTGACTTTCAAAACGGCTTTTTGTCTTCGCTCCTTCAATCATTTTAGTGAAGGAATAAACTCAGGCTAACAGGACCAAGACTTCCAGCTCTGAAGCCAATGGGAACCGTTACTTATACCTTAGATTTTTCCACTTTCTTTCAACATGATCTGGGTTAAAACGTCTCCTAATAGGGTTTAGGAAACATAAAAAAATTCCTCAATGTGAACTGCCCATGTGCTAATGCAAAGTGTCACTAAAACCAAACATTTTCGTTTGCCATTCATCAAGATCATCTGTGTTTGAGGTTGCACTTATTTTTCCTGGGACTGAAACAGAGCTAGTTGTGTCAGATTACCAGAGATACTTGTATAGAAACTGAGTTGTTCTCACCTGATACTGACAAATGAGTTGCTGTGATACGTCCTCTTGGTATCATGGAAATGTCACCCAGAAAGTCAGGGATTGTTCTCCGACACCTGAATGTCCTTTCACTCCTGCCCCAGTGAAGCATCAGTCCTTTGCTGTGAAATTTCTTTCTACCTTAATTCACCTCACGTTGTTGCTCCCTTCAGTGTACAGCGGTCCCTCACTAGAAGTCTTTAAAGCAATATGATCTTTTTTCCTCTACTGCTGCATAGCACTGGAGAGAACAATAGGAGGTGTCCCTAGCTGCCAGGCCTACTCAAGCTTCTCGTTATCAAAAATGAAGGTGGGTCACTCGCCCTCCACGACTGAAGCAGTCAAGTCCAGCTACGGCAATGAGATTTTGTGACTGGGTAGAAGTTAACAGACAGCTTGGGCCAACCTTATTGTATGCTGTTATGTCCCCTGATATCCTTCACACTGACTTTGTGATTGAGTACTACAATTAATCCAGAGGAAAATGTATAAATTTGTAATTTGCCAGGTGAACAAAGCTGAATCAACTCAGCAAAAGTTTCCAAGACAAGACTGAGCCAACACAGGGACAAGCGTAGTAGCATAAGGCAAGGAGAAAGAGGAACTTCCTCTCTTAACACCAGGAGCTATTAGGAACAGTTTAACCACTTTGAATAAATCCCACCACAGGCTTTTACTAGCTTGCAGTCAAATTATCTGTAAGAAGAAGAAATCAATCAAAATTAACAAACAAAACCCATTAGCTGCACCAGATTCACAGGAGCAGTGCATCCTCAAGAAGTTTGTGGCACACTTTTTAAAGACATGAGCCAGTGAGAAATGTGTTTCAGGAAATGTGCTTTTATAGAAACAGGAGCCTGGAATATAACCTTCAGGTACAAACTGACCTTTTAATTTCAGAGAAGAAGTGGACTACTACTTTGTGATGAAAAAAAATCCAGGTAGGAGACTCCATGTTATAATCAGGGAAAAGACAGACTGAAATCTAACAATGGAATGGCAGCAAGGAGGGAATGACAGGTTTTAGAGCATGATACTGCTTATATATACTGTTGGGACCCTAAGCTCTGGAATATCTGCCTCTCTTTACAAATCTCTGTCCTATTTCTCTACTGAAGAAGAGCTGAAAGGAAATGTTGCAAGGAGTTGTTTGACATTGAAAAAAACCCAAACAAAAACACCCTAAGCCCAAAGGTTTATCTTGGCACATACTTCTAAGAAAGACACATATACCTGTCCCCTCTCATATAAAACCTGGCAGATAGATGTATCCGCAAACACAAGAGGCAAAGACTAATCAGTATCAAATTCATTATGGTCCAGGTTTTCCCTCTAGCATTTTAATTTAAAACCACTGTTAACCCAGAAACTTTGCCAAGGCAGGTTCTAATTTACTCTGCTACAAGTGAAATCAGAATGAGGAGAAAGTACAAGGGGGGGAGTGTCAGCATACACCTGACTGTATAAATCTAAAGGGAACAGTTTGTTGTTTTTCTTTTAAAGTATTCATGTGACACCGAATAACCAAAACAAAAAACCCCACAAAATTTAAGCACAACATACACTTTCAAAGACTATCAGTCACAAAGCAGGATGAGATTGCTGGGATCAGCAAATTGTTTTGGTTTTCCAGCATTTTCAGCTTGATATGTATGCATTCATGGCTAATGCGATTTCCCATTAAGCATGGCCTAAGGAAAGCAGACATTTCAGAAAACAAATCAGCACTTTATATAAATATATTTATGTCTAAAATCAGATTAACTACTTATTGTATGAAGCTGACTACAATATAATCAGTTATTGTGAATACAGCACAAGAAATGCTGTGTACTTGCAACCTTTTTCTGACTGCTTACCCTGTGCTACAAAGAAAGTGCTATCGCAGCAGCTAGGTCAAAACTCAACATTCAAACAGTGTGAGACTTACGGAGAAGAAAAGTAAAGCAGAATATTTAAAAAGGCAAGGAAAATATCCTGTAACTGCATTTAGAAGTGGTGGCAAATCTCTGTCACTCCAGCTTTCCACTTCCTATCATGATTATACCCCTACAGTCATCCATCAGTCCCATCCACTGTTTCATTCTTCCTTACCAAAGGTGGACGTATTTCTTCTCTGAATTGCTCTCCTAGGCTCACATGGCATGTACCCCAGCTTACCTGAGTCTAAGTGCCACGGGTCGGTAGCGGCCGACATTGGTGGGATGGTGAGTGGAGATGCTCCACAGTTGGATTCCACCAGTTCTCCTTGGATGTGGACGTGAGAGGAGGCGTTGGTAGGTCTCAGAGCCGCTTTGAGTGGAGCAATCTGGTTGAACTGTACTCTCGACAGGCAGCCAGTGAATCCTGGGGTATTGTATTTATATATATCTTGGTCAATCTTCCCAATTTCTATGCGAAATCAAGGAGGGAAAAAGAAAAAAAAGATTAATCAAAACAATTCACTACTTTGGAAAGCATGATTGGTCTGAACACTTGATTCCGAGAGCTCAGTTCCCAAGTCTCTCTCTCAGGAGACTGAGAATGTGTCGGACCCCGACAGGTTTCTTTACATTTCATCAGAGATGGAAACCTTCAGGCCTTGATGTGACTCGGTGTCACTGCTATGCTATCATTAAAATGAAAGGCTAGCATGAAGGAGTCATCAGGGCCATAAAAAAAATCTTTGCCCCAAGAAGAGGTGGTAAAAGAGAAGGTAGAGAGACAGTCATTGCCAGAGTCTCTGCAGCCTGAGGAGCAGGCTGAGGAGTCCACGCTCCCGCAGCTCCCCAGCCAGGCCTGCTGCCAGTCGGCCAGTTCACGCCTCACCACTGCAGGCTGAGCCGGCATCCACGAGCTGAGCACAGGGCTCCGCCATCGCTCTCTGAAACAGCTGTCGTCCCTGAAAGTCAAGCCCCAAGTAGCTTTCTCCCTTCTAAAAACACCAGTTAAAATGATCCCAAAATGGGAGCTGTAAGACACAGCTCATGCCCTTGCTACCCAGGGACCTGCAGGCCACTTGCAGCCATTTAACTTTGCCAGGGCCTGTCCGAGTACAGTCGAAACAAACTTGACGCTCTCTGTCAGCTGGCTCTGTTGGAGGGGATATTAACATTTCAAAGCCTTCCAGCAGTGACTAATATAATATCTACATGGCAGTGAGGCATTTGGTTTCCTCTCTTCTATGGCAGCGCAACATAAATGAAAATGACAACAAAGCAGCATCGTGTTTGTGCTGTACCAGAAAGTATCCAGAGACACTGCGGCGTTTCAAAGTGCCTTTCCCTGGGCCGGCAAGGACAGGAGTTAATGTCTGGCCCCTGAAGACAGTGGAAAAAGTCACACTGAGCCAAGCAGAGCAAGATGGTGTCCCAGGGACAGAGAACACGGAGCAGCCCCAGATTGCTCGATGGCAAGTTTTTAAGATAGGAACAAGGATAAAGGCTTGAAAAATGGTGTTTCTGGAAAAAATATGTATATATGTCACAAGACAGATAGTGTAATTAAAATAAAGAGGGTTATCTTCAGAGGTGTGGGGAGAAAAAGATAAAGAGCTTTATTTTAAGAGCTTGGGGAAGGGCTGGGAACCAAAGCACACCAATAATTTCCTAATAATTAGAATTATTAGGAAATGCTCTACAAACCTTTTGGATGAGTCTGCACCCATGTCTAACCAGCCTAGGATCAATTGTTTGAGGTCTGAGCTGCTGATTGGACTTCCTAAAAGCTACCATGATACATGTCAGTGCTACTCCTAAGAGTACTGAGGATTTTATGCCAGGGACATGTACAAGGAGCTTCAAGGTACGAACCAGGCATGGCATTTCAAATATGCTTTATTTTTTGCGTTTACACATCAAAAATGAAGTGGGGGAAAACTTGTGGAAACTGGACATATTTTGAGAATGATTAAAACAACTTCTGGGTTTTCATACAGAATTAAATTGTACCTTTTCTGTCTTTGCAACCATATTAGAATGATTAACATATAATGTTCAAATACCCCTACACCTAGCATGAGGACACAAAAGGAAGATGCATAATCTGAAAATTATTTGCATCAGATCCTTATGCGATCTACTGTACAAAATCAGACTTGTTCTATTAGCCTTCGCTTTTCCTTTTCCTCTCCTTCGAGAATGTCCTTTCTCTGCTAGTGCTTATCCAGCCTGTGTCAGTATTACAGCCACATTTCACAACCTGTCAATGGGCAGTGACTGTCACCTGTAGCAAAGTGCAAACACTCTCAGAACTCACCCAGAGCCTAAGCTAGGCTTAGGCTAAGCTAAATGCATAAAAATTATTCTGTTAGTAACGTGGGTCTTTCATCTAGCTCTCCTTCAAGAAAGTGACTTGACCAAACAGCACCACCTCCTTCAAAAACTTCACAGTAAGTAAAAAAACTCACACATTCACTTCCCATAGTCAGAGAAAAGTGTACAAAAGCTAGAGTTCATGCATCTGAATGCTACCTGTAGACCACACCACTCAGACGAGGTTCCTATCTGACCACAATATTCACTGTATCTTACTTTAGTAAAATATTAATGGCATATTCAGTGAAGAGCTGCAATTCTGAGTAGTCTTTACAACCTAAGGAACAATCAGAAGACTGTATTTCTCTTGAAACACTGTAACAATCATGAATAACAGTTTGGTGATTACTTTTTATTCCTATTTTTATATATTCTGTGGAACATCATGCAGCAATGCTAATAGCCTTCCACTCACAATCCTGAATTACAAGAAAAAAATCCTCAAATATGATTGTGCTGCTTTAGCAGCTTCAGCATCGTTCTCTAACTCTGTGAATAATAGGTGATGGATACTAGATCATGAAAGAATTAAAGAAACAAAACAAAACAAAAAAACCCCAGTACAGCACCTTGCTGAAGATCTGCCTTTTTGTTTAAAATGTTCCACAAATGATGGTTGTGCAAGTCACCTCATGCAAATTTACCACTAGCTCGCATCGTAACAGTGCTAAAACAAGATGGATCGACTTCTCTGACTGTGAACATGTTCCTTTCCATGCGCATCCCACGGGGCTCAGCACATTGATAGTCTCTGCTGTTAGGCCATTATACTTTGATTCTCTGCGCATTTCAGCCTGCTGTAAGCCCATCCCTAGAGAGTGTAATGATTATATAATTAAATATGCCTTAGTTGTCATGACTCAAATTCAATTTTCTCCCTATAACAAAGGAGGGAGAACAAGAAAAGAAGATGACAATGATATTATTTAAAATAAAAGGAAAAGGATAATGCAACTTTTCAGTGTTCTAATTTTCAGTGCAAAGTCATATGTATTATAGTATATAGTATTAACATTACTTAATAGCAACATTAGTATTATTGCTTTCGGATCTGATGCAGCAATATTCTGCTGGCACCCCACCCACAAGCATTTCTGTAATGAAAGACTTCCAAAAATACCACTTACAGACCTTTTTTACCTTCAACTGTTTTTAACCATTTGCTCCCTTGACCATATAACCCACTGACTTGAGATGAAGACCATCAGTACAAAGCAGACACCATTCAGGTGAACTCATTCTAGCACAGATGCACTGCAGGATACAAACCTGTAACACTGAACATTCACACAATAATTATGCAACTGTGTAGTGGTTTGACCCTGGCCGGCAGCC